CTGCAGCCTCTGAGAGTAAAGACTCTGACTCCAGAGGAGATCTACAGAGCCATCAAATCCATCGGGAACTCAGCTCTCTACATCCGCCTCAAGGTGCTTAGTCTCGGTTGTTTCTTTGATGTGAAGCCTCTTTAACACAAAGCAGGTCTGAGATGTTTAATCTCATGAATCTGTACCGCCTTTTAGGTTAGTTTGGGACTGAGAACAGGAGTATGGAAGTAAATCTGTATTTCATTTGTTATTTGATTCAGTACTTTGTAGCAACAGCTACGTCAAACCACAGAACATGCATTTCTATTATAGCTTTCTTTGTTGTGCTTCTGCCCTTTTTAGGCTTCAGGTCTACTATGAGTTAATGTAAATAATGTTGAAATTTCAATGAATATAATATATGACTGTTGTAGAAAGAAGAGGTAAAGACAAAGGAAGAGGGAGAATATCTGGGTACTGACCCTCCAACAGCTGAACCTGTGATAATGAAGATTGAGAAAACTGCGCTCCACTTAAGGTGAATTAAGAACAGGAGAAGAAATTTTTCTTCTTCTTTGATTATTGAACTAAGAATAAACGTTTCAGATAATAACATTGCACCTTATTATTTGTAAGATGATCCTAAAATAACCAGTTGAAGACATTATTGCTGTCCCACGTATCCATCCAGGATACCTGGGATTTGGCCCCATACCTAAAAGGTAGAGCTAAATGCAGTCCCTTGGGTTGGTGAAGATTCTGGTTTGTTTACAGGTAGAAATCCTACTTTCAGTTCCTGAAAAAGGTGAATGTCTAAATGTACATTGATTTGTCACAAAAATAAGTTTTCTAAATGTTGTTTGGTGAGAAAATCAACCTCAAAAAGTGATCTGTCTTATCATTATTTTAAATAGTTAAAACAATTATTAGCAGCAGTTTGGATCTCCCCTCTAACTGCTGCAACCTGCTGTAATGTCCGATATTACCACCTAAAGGGGGGAGCCATGAGGGACGGTGCAGCAGTCAGAAGATTGACAAAGGCTTAAACCTGGGATGTGGAATGTTGAGTCTTTGCGAGGGGAGGAGCCTGAGCTTGTGTGAGAGTTGGAGTGATGCTGGCTAGAAATAGTTGGGCTCAACTTCACATGTTGCCTGGGCTCCTTTGGAGGTTCTACCTTGTGGAGAGAGAGATGGCTGGGACGGGTTTGGGTGTTGGAGTTTACCCTGATGGACGAGCGGGTCGGATCCTTTCGTCTTCTGTTAAAGGGGGGAGTTTTCTGATTGATGTTTTGGCCTATGGGCTTAACAGCAGTACCAGTCCTGGTAGTAGCGTCCCTTGGTTAGGGAAGAGGAGCCCCCATGATC